ATGTTCAAAATCAAGCGGGACCGCACTGAGGGCACCACTTGTGGGCTCAAACAGAGCTGTTTTCCCCCTCATGCCTTTGGGAGCCCTCCCCTCGCCAATAATCCCACTTTAGGCACCGTCCTTTAAGTCCATGGAAAACCCCAAAATGAGCGCTCTCAGTTTCTCTCTGATTATATATACTTACACTATATACGTACCTCTGACGTCGTTTTCAGTGTCTGCCCGATGTCGCTATACACTCACCCGTGTCACGTGACCTGACAGCTTCCAGCATGTGGCGCCCCGACACCGGTGGCCCCGCCATTTTGTGTATCGTCGCTGTGGTTAAGCAGGTTAAGCATGGTTAAGACGTTTTTGGTGTACGTGCAGGTTTTTGTGCTCTCGGTTTATCAGTGTCGAATTTATTCAGTGTCGTTGCATCGTAGTCGAATCGTTGCATTGTAGACACGAGCTGTTCGTTTCGTTCTAAAGTGTAGAGAGTGCAGGGAAATGAAAACGCAGTGGCCGTTCCTGGGCTGGTGCGCGATCGTGATGCGCTAAGATGGTGCAGCCGAGCGTCGTCGAAAGTCAGTCAACCCGGTGACGTCTCGTAGACAGTGTCATACGGTGTCGTTATCATTGCATCCTTGTTTACCGAATTGTAAATTTATCAATCGAGTAGACGTATAAGGTGCAACAGTGCGCATCGCGTAATATCTGTAATGGTTCGCGCGTGAATCGCGTCAGACCCGGATGGAACTCGATCAATAATAAAAAGCAGGTATTCGTGAGTCGCGTTTGGGCGTCTTGCGTATCGTGTATCGTGTATAAATTGAACCGCGGCATGACACAGATGTGTGTTACGAATCGAACGATTCCTACGAATTCTGTGCAGGCACCCAGGGTCGGCGAGAAAAGCTAGGCCGAAATGATCGATGGTAATGAAAGTGATCCGGTGTGTCACATCGTCCTGGAGAGTTATCGTAGTAACGAATGAATCGCGAAGACGCCATCGAAGCAGTTCTCAAGTAGCAGATCGTCGTTGACTGGTTACCGGGAACCATGGTAAAGAGCGACCGCGGTAACTGATCGTAAAGATTGGTAATCGTCCGGGCGTGTGTGCAACGGGAGGGATATGTTAATGAAGAAAAGGAACCGCGAGAAAGAGATCGACGAGCGCGAACGACTGTAGGAAGCGAGTCGCACGTCACTAGCGTTCGAGAACGAGAAGAAGAGAAGCGAGAGGATGGAGGACGAGCTGCGATGCCCCTGCTGCAAGGAGCTGTTCGTCGAACCGGTGTTGTTGCCCTGCTGGCATGCCCTTTGTCTAGCGTGCGCGGTTAATTTACAAGCACCTCCCGACTCCCCGCCGGAGTCGTCGACCGACTCGTCGAACGCGCCAGGATCCGACCAGGAGGCCGACAAACTCTCGATCCTCTCCGAAACCGATTCCGGAGTGGTGTGCAGCAGTACGTCGACCAGTTCGCGGCCCGGAAGCTATGTCGGCACACCTGGAAACGGAGGTTTCCCACCGTCAGGCGGCACTTTGTGCCTCTCCTGCCCGGTTTGTCAGAAGACCGTCTACTTCGACGAAGGCGGAGCTCACAATTTACCCAAGTACAGGGCGATGCAACATATCGTTGAGAAGTATCAAGAGTCGAGGAACACGAGATTGCAATGTCAGATGTGCGAAGCCGAACCTCGGGACGCTACCGTCGCTTGCGAGCAATGCGAGGTCGGTAAACGCCGATTTTCCATCCCTCTTTCTCTCTGTTGTATATTTCTCTCGAACGATCGTTTCGTGTCTGTTGTCCATATCGCGAGAGTTTGCAGCAAGCTTCTTTTTAGATCGAGCATGACCCTCGCGACCTTGTCCCATCGTCCCGTTTCACGACGATCGCTAAGTACTATCCTCAATTTCTCGAACAGATATCCTCTCTACGAGTACGGAGCGTGAAGAGTAAAAGAGGGGGTTGGGGTCGTTTCAGGTCTTGTATTGCGACGCGTGCAGAGAGTCGTGTCATCCGAAGAGGGGACCACTGGCAACGCACAATCTGGGCCCGCCTCGAGGCAGCTGGCAATCGAACGGTGGTGCTCGAGGTTCTCGCGGCTCGGCCGCGGAAACTACACCCCTTTGCGCCGATCACAACGGCGAACCGCTGTCTCTTTATTGCGCCCTTTGCAAGGCCGCGATATGCACCCTTTGCCTTCGAGACCGTCACACTGCTCATCCGCACGACGTTCTCCCGTTGGCCGCGGCTTGCAAGGCACAGAAGGTATGTAGCGTCTGAGAATATTGCTTCAAATCGTCGGACGTGAACGTAAAGCGTGCGACCGAGGATCGATCGTGATCGGTACCGATGAACCAGTTATCGACGACAATCGGAATCGTTCCGATGGGCCGAAAATTCACTTGGACGACCTTCACGAAACTGGTTCTAACGTACGTAAGTCTCCATTCACGGAACTCGATCGTTGCCTCTATTTTGGTGCGCGCGCCAACTGTGGACGTAGATCAACGACCGCGAATCGTAGGGTAGGAGAGAAGAGCCGTACGATCGACAGCTGGTTTCGATGTCGCGTATGTCCACATCGTGGATCGTGTCCTCTTTATTTCGTTGGTATACTTCCCGACGCACTTGCTCGTTTCAGTCTTTCTACGAGATGACCTAGACCCTACCGATTCATCCTACGCTCCTTTGTCCGAGCGATCAATGGTCCTCGTACGACAGCGATTAAACAAAGCACCCAGATTTTGTTGTGGGACCGATGTTCGTATGGTTCCCGTTCCGTCGCATTGTTCGCCAGAACCAAATGAAAGAGCGGGGCCGGAGAAAAGAGGAGGAGGTCCACGTGGGTAGAGTTGGCAGGGAGCAACGAAAAAGAATGGAGCGCGCACTGTACCTCTCGACGAGTGTCCTTATTCTGTGTGTATTTTCTCTCCTCGATGCTCGCGTGTCCTTGTTCTCACGCTTTATAGACAACGTCGTTTGGTCGGTTTTAGCGTAAAGCGTAAGCGAAATCTACACGCGGTAACGATTGAACGATCGAAAGCGCAACGGAGAGTGATAAAGCGCAAAACATTGAGAATTCGCGGAAATGCGAGTAGACGAGATCGTCTAGTATTCTAGTCGGTCGGCTCGCATAATATTAGATCCCATAAAAGGAAACTTGCCGGGAAATGGCGCGAGTCGAGGCACGAAGTAAGATGCCTTTCATATACGTAAGTGCGCGACTGACGTCCAGTGGCCATCGACCGCTGTCCTCGCATAGGCGGCACACAGAGTACGTCCATGAATTCGCGAGGCGAAGGCCAACCGTGTCTCTTCTTTCCACCCTCTTTATCAAGACTGGGTTACTTCTATTCTATAGGTAGCTAGTTTCGGTTTTCGTGGAAACGTAGGAAAATCTATGAGAAACAACCCAATGGGGACGCGCGTGGAGTCTCCGAACGAAAATAGTAGTTGAAATAGTGCCAGCCTTTGATACTCCGCGCACTCGACCGGGGAAATAAACAAAGGGTGCGTGTATAGTACGAGGAGTGGTGGGTCTGGCACGCGATTTACTTTCGAGCTTTTCCGTGACGTGTCCGAAATTTCTGTTTTCAAGCATTTCTTCGTTCAGGCGCGTAAAGAAACATGCGAGAGATAAACAGACATCGTACTGTTTTTCTCGTTCGCATCGATCGGATGTCTCGCGGGTGAAATGTTTATGGAGTCTCAGTCTGATTGGTTCGGTGCGATAGCTGCACGGAGCACGCACTCAGGGCAGGGCTCGGGTGTTAGGCTCTACGCAAACGTGCATCTCATTACCTATCTAGTGCCGCTACGCACGGAACGTACCGTGTCGCGACACGAGCACGATCACGTCGTCCTTTTATTTGAAAATCAATGCTTTCTATTAATGCGGCTTACGACCGACCTTCGACCAGTCCCGAATACTTCGCGTCCGTCGAAAGAACTGCCGTTTACTCCTTCATACGTGGAACAGAATGGTCGCGGAGAAGTTCGAGGAGATCCGTTTCGTTCCGTTTCCTTCCCTTTCATCTTCTACTATAAATATCGTCGCGATAGCCAACGACTCTTTTGCTCTCGCATTCGAAGAAGATGCTCTCGCAGCTGCAGGCTTTGCGCGTGCCGATTCGTTTGTACGTAGCTACCGAAACGCTCGCCTACCATTCGGCCGGGCTTAAATTTTCACCGGATCGATCGCGCGTGTGCGTAAAGCGTGTATACAAGCGAAAACGGGAACACGCGTGGGTTTCAGGAGCCCTTCCGATTCCAAGAGGGGTTCGTCCCTTTCGTATCAACGCGAAATACGAGTGCATCGTGACTATGGCTCGGCAATTATCCGGTACTTTGGTCGATTCGGCTGAAAATATTACTCGGCTCGCCCGTTATTATCAAAGGCACAGCTGCGCCTGCCGCTCACGAACCAGATACGTATCGTAGATACATAATTTAACCGCGGACGTTGATCCGCCGGATTGTTACTTTCGACGTATAGCGATACCTACAGCCGCACGAAACGTTGTCAGAGTGCGAACCAATGAAAATTTCTTAGAACAATCTACGCAGGAATTAATCTTTGGTCTGTGCACAAGGAAGGAAGCCTTCCTCCGCGCGAGCAGAGATTCTGGTACGCGGGACCTAAAACGAGGACTCGCGTTTTAAATAGCGTCGCAGCTGTCCTTCGTTCGTAGGGATGGTAATAGAGTTTTATCCCGTTACACGCGTGCCCTTGTTCAGAGACTGGAGACCTTCTTTCAATTATTCATTACGACGATAAGCAACGGTGATACGATACAAACAGGCGTACGCTTCGACGATGCAATACACAAATACGTAGTCGCGTCGCGACAGAATCGAAGCAACGCGTGATTCTTCGGATGCAAACAAGTTCTCGCGACGATTGTTTCAATTTGCATGGCTAGTCGTCTCGCTCGCTCCACAGGAGGAGAGTAGAAACAGCTGTCGGAAGCCCGCTGCGTGGAGTTCTAACGATTCGATTAATAGAGGCGACGCAACGTTCGTCTAATTCTGATCGCGAGGCTGTCGCTTGTCATCGTAGTCGATTAAGTACGCAGCCGAGAATCAACGGAGTTCGTTCGTATTTGTCGGGTAGTCGTACGATGTATAGACGACAACGGGGACGGTGGTTGTAGCCGCAGTCGATCGATTCCGAGCGAATGCATTACTCTGTTCCATGTCTGGAATACATACGAGCTTCCTATTTCTACGACACTTCCTCGATTCTTCGATTCAGAACGTTTCATCGCGGCAGCTACACTCAATGTCTCTGACGCTGGTTCATAGGTTAACTCGTCCAAGCGTGCCCGGGTCGTCCCACTTTTAAACATGTATAATGGGATTCTTGTTGTACCTCCTCTAGCAAATGCATGCTGGCTGTCTAAATGCGATATTAATACTCGAAGAGAGGTTAGAAACCGTCCTCGAAGGAATGAGATCGTGTTCTCTTTTCGGCTGACCGTTTCACGGAACAGGAACTGAGAATGAGAACTGAACGAGAGTGGAGAAAGCGAATCATCATTAGGGATTCGAGAGAAGCGCGCGTCAACAGTGAACGAATCTCGAGAAACGGAGAATGCTCCGCGAGAATCGATCCAAGTACCCTCGACTGTTGCAATTACTCTGTGACGAGTGGTTGGACGAGATTCGATCGAGCCGCTTAATTAACAGGTGCTGCGTTCGTCGTTTCGTTTCGGTGTTCGATAGGTATCTCTGGTCGGGCTAATTCGAAGAGTCCTCGGGTGAACGAACGTTAAGGTGAAGAACCGCAGCGAATGTACATCGCGATCATTTCCGTCGGCGAATTACCAAGGAAAATTACGGAAATTAGATGGGGCGCCGTGCTGGTGCGGTCGCGGCTAACTCGGAAAGAGTAACTCGATCATCCTCCGGCACCGACTATCGACTATTTAATCTGGTCTACGTCACCAGACGGACAGACAGACGGACAAATTGGCTGACGCGTTGCCTCGTCACAATGCAACGAACGCAACTGTTGCACGTTACGTGTTTCGCGCGATCGTTCGACCTTCGGTCGCGCTTCTTCTTCGACGACAGACGTCGCCGTCGCGTAACGCAGGTTTCTAAAGGATTTCGATACGATTACAGACGGAGCTCTCGCAGAATTTACAACAGCTGTCGGAAAGGGCTCGCTCGACGACGGAATTCATTCAGAGACTCAAAGGAATGACGGACAAAGTGCACGTGAGTATCCCGTGGGTCGTGGGTCAAACCCTCCTCTCCCCCCTCCAGATTTCGCATTAGCCCGTCTCTGTAGCGAAAGGACCGGCGTTAATTGCATTAAGCGCGTCCGCCCCGTCGTCTGCGTTCGTTCGCAGTTGCAAATAAGAATTTATGAATATGTCGACAGGAGGAGTGCGTCGCATTAGAGGAAGAAGTGGAGGAGAGGGTGGCGACTCTGGTGAGTCTTTTGCAGGCAAGGAAATCTCGGTTGATCGAAGCGGCCCGGCAAACGAAAGATGCCAGGGTACGCTCGTTGAGGGACCAAGTGGCCAGATGCGCGTCTCATCTGCAAGCGACCACCGCCCTTCTCACCTTCTGCATCGAAACTCTCAAGGAGACCGACGGCGCTGCCTTCCTCCAGATCGGTGGCATGCTGTCGGTCAGAGCAGCGACCGCTGCCGGTTCTTGGGGAGGCGCCGAGGGGGTGCAAGAAATCGCTCGACTACCTCTGCTCGATCTCACGTTGGACGACAAGCCGCTACGACGCGCTATAGATCAACTCACTTTCGTTCAATTAAAACGTAAGCGTTCCCCGTGCACCGTCTCTCCCGCTCGGTCTTTTCTTCTCTTTCTCTCTTTCCGATCATCGACGCGTCTTTTCGGTGGTCGAAAGTGTATTGTTGATCGAACATAAACGATTGCCGTATGTTGGACGCAGCATCCGAAGGAGAAGATCGTTTCCCGATTGCAGGTAATTATGAACGAAGGAACGCTCGGAGTCTCTCAAAACTGCGTTCAGCTATTTTATGTTCTGGACGAGAAACGAACAAGCGTCTCTCGACGCTCCTCCTTTTTCCTTCTGTCCTTCCGTGTCCGTCTGCGATCCTGTCGGCCGATGACGGATCGGTTCGAGGACATTCACCTCCGGATGTTTTTAGCGCCCGGAGCCCCGATCTTGATACCGGAAGAGTGCAGCGCCGAAAACAACAGCGTGACGGTCGCTTGGCAACCTCCACCTGGACACGGGATCGTCGGATGTGCCAGCCAGAGAGGACCCGCCATCGAAGGATACTTATTGGAATTGGACGACGGATACGGCGGAGAATTCAGGGTAAATGAAAACCTTGATCTTTTTACGCGCGACGCAAGTTGGATACGCGTCGTCGCGAGTATTGGTCGAAAGTCGAAGAGCTGACCCGGCTCGTCGGTGTTAATCAGTTCGCGACGTGTTCGTTTAGGAAGTGTACTGCGGCCGAGAAACAATTTGCACCGTGGACGGGTTGCACTTCAACTGCCTGTACAACGCCAGAGTGAGAGCGTTCAACAGCGCCGGAGAGGGCGAATATTCGGAACTGATCGGTCTCCAAACCGCTGAGGGTGAGTCTCGACCCTTTTTTTTTCTACCGCATCCTCGAACACAATCGGTATTCGCGTCTCCAGTTTCTGTTCGCCATCGTTCAGTCTCCAATGTTCGAAATCGTGGCAGTCGTCTGCCCGCTCGATTCCGTCATACGAGAACGACGATCGGTTAAGCTGAGCGTCGAGGGGAATTGATCGGTCGATTATTTCATTTGGCGTCCGTACCGTTTTGTCGGCTGACAGTGGCTTGGTTCTCGTGGGCAACCGGGGCGTCCGGTGTACCACAGGAGGTATCGGTTTCCGAGGACGCGATGAGCGCGTCCTGCGAGGGCTACGAGCACCGGGTGGTCTTGTCGAGTGTCGGATTCTCGCGGGGCGTTCACTACTGGGAGTTGACGATCGATCGCTACCACAGCGATACGGATCCAGCGTTCGGCATAGCCAGGGCCGAAGTGGCGCGGGATCGAATGCTCGGTAAGTTTCTATTGATGGCGGTATGATTAGCGAACTTTTAATAGGCTTCGTGTCGAATCGAGAAGTTCCCTTTTCCGGCGCTGACCGCGATTGCATCGGCACGATTGATCTTAGGTAAGGACGACAAGGGTTGGAGCATGTACATAGATCGGCAGCGTTCCTGGTTCATGCACGGCGGAGGTCACGCGCAGAGAACCGAGGGCGGCGTGCAACAGGGCTCGACGGTGGGCGTCCTCTTGGATCTGGACACTACTCACACGATGCGGTTCTTCGTGAACGACCAGCCACAAGGCGGAATCGCGTTTCGCGATCTCTACGGCGTGTTCTATCCGGCCGTCAGTTTAAACCGTGGAGTGACCGTCACTCTGCACACGGCCCTGGACGTTCCTCGTCATCTGTTAGCGCTGCACGAAGAGTATATGACGGACGCTGTTCAGAGCTAGGGATACCTAACCGTCCTGAAAAAGGGCCTGTTGCAGGAGATCGGGTTCTCGGGTTCGAGCGACAAGTCGTCGAGAGAGTTCAACGGTCATCTCGAGAAAATCGTCGAAGAGAACCTCGGTGAGACCAACTGATGACGATTTACCGACCAACCGGCGACACTACGACGTCGTCCCGCAAATCTTATCACTTTTAATTTATTTTTTTCTACAAGCGTCGAGGTACACGTATACATACATGCCTACGTTCACACGTACTATTTCCGAAATGTGCTACGCGGACGTCTCGAGCTTAGGTTTCGATAATTTTGCGAACAGTACCTCGCACAAGTCTCGTAATAGGATAAACGTGTAGTGTAATCAAGTTTCGTTCGAACGTGTTTCTTACGCTTGAAAGTGGAATCGGCTTTTCTCGACGTTGTCGATCTCGGGATACTATAGATAAGGGAAAAAAAGTATAATATCTTTCGATTGTTCGTCTCAAGATCACTGCCAGAGACCTGCCAGTTGTCGAATCGAAGACTGCCATTTACGACGAATACGTAAACCGAAGTGTTCTCCGTCTGACGATCGTGAGAGCGATCGTATTCTTAACCATATCGATACGTATAAGTATAATCGCGTAGGCGTAAGGTAAATTCTGTCGGTATTTAGTAAAACGTATTCGGATTGATTCAAGAAAGGAAGGAGGGAAGAAAGGAGGGAAGGGAGGTAGAGTAGAAGAGAGGGAGGGGAGAAACGATAGAAAAGAAGGATACAGCGAGCAAGATCGTAAGCATTAGTGAAAAATAATGAATCGAATAAACATGTTCTAGTCCCCGATAGAATATTTCATCTACTTTGCATTCGCCTTCATTGCTTATTTCTGTTTCTTTTCTTATTTTTATACTCACCATTTCGTACTCGAACAGTTGGTTCGGAATATAAATATTACGAGACGTTTCGAATTAATTTAAAATAGATGTTGCAGCGCACACATCCTCGTAAAAACCCCGGCAACGACTACTCCCGGCAACGAGGAGGTTCATTGTCAGCGTTGTATATATTTGTATATACGTATTTCGCCCATACTCCCGATGAATTTACTAATTGTATTTACGACTTTATTCGATATTCGATCAATAAAAACGCACCAGGAACAGTGACGGAAGTTCCCCAGAAGATGATCCTGCTTCCCATCCCACTTGGGAAATCAATACTCGTCGCGCATCGAAATAGGTAAATCGTCCGTACTATTTCTTCTCGAGGTGTACGCAATGTTTTAACCCAATTAATCGTCGGATGAGAACGTCCTCAATTCCTCGAGTATGATCTCTTAAAATCGTTGGACGCTCGTTAAACACTCGTATGAAATAAAGACGGACCAGCGAAATAAAAAGTGTGCGGTTTGAGCAAATATAAAATACTGAAGTAGGTTACAGCTGGAGTTACGTTTGTTCGAAGATCGTTTGCCTCGTGCAATACCGCCAATTTTTTAACATCTCGAGACAGACGAGACGTGTACACGGACATAAGCATCGTTTTAAATGAACGTGCTTGAAAAGCGTTTCGAATCGAAAGTAACGGAACATGAAACGAAGCAACTGTGAGACGACAATTGTCAAGAGAATAGGAGTCCTCGTGTTACTCATCTCTTGTCAGGCGAACCAGAAACCAGGAAAGTAGTGGGACGACGGTGGTAATACGACGAGTAACCACAGCGTTTCGTCTTTCACCGCAGAATCGAGCCGGGAGGAAGTAAGACTAGTGTTCGCGCTTGTCTTTAAAAATCGAAACGACGCGACGCACCACTTTCGTAACGAGACTCTCTTCGCGGTTACTGGTCACGCTTTTTCTATCTTTTGTTTCGCCTCGAGTCTCGTTGAAAATGGTAAGCTCCCATGTATAACGATCAGACGGAATTCCGGCCACGCTGCGCCATTAAATTTAAATGATTTATTATTTATTTAACCGATTTTCTAATCTGAGCTAACTTAGATCAAATGGCTCTTGGACAAGGTCCGTATAGCCTTTCCGCTCTGTACAAAATTTAAATGATAGAAAATCGGAGAAAACTCGAAGATCGATATTTAATCGATACGATCGAGACGATCACGTGACGCGGTTTTCCCGCCATTACGCCGTCCATTGGATCGCGAATTACATTACTTACTTTTATCGAGTGAACTTTCGGAATTACTTTATCATCTAAGATTCGAAATTGGTGCGAGGAAATTGAGGAGAAGAGAATGAGAATGCAGGACTTAATTTCGGATCGGACTGGATCATCGGTGGCTTATCGCGTCAGACGAGCCTTGCGGGCAATTTCTCACGCGTCTACAAACGGTGAATTAACACGTAATAAACCAGATTCTATTTTTATTATAAGAAATATCTTAGCTAGAAGCAGGGAATTATTCTTAAACTGCCGCTGATCAATCGCATCGTTGGTAAACGTAGGATCGATTCACTCGTTCGATCGAGCACCAACAATCATATTTATTCTTTCGTTCAATATAGCACGTACATTGCCTTGTGTATTACATTGAACAATTTGCCATGGAGTCAGTGCGTTAAACTTTGTATAAAACAGCCATCTTCCTTTGTACACGTTCTCATAGCATAATTACAAACCGATTACGATATCCTTGAACATCTGAACGGGGAATCGTTAGATATTGACCGAACAGCGATTATTACGAAGAATTGTGCAGAATTTTAGTGAAAGCATTGTAGGACGTTTCCAGGTCGAAGATCAACTGTCTGACTTGCGTGTCGGACAGTTCGTCGGATGCAGACATATTACTCAGCGTTTGTAGCCATTCCGCGACTTTTTCTTTCCCATCGAAGTCGCTCGGTAAGATGCTCAATCTGTTTATGGTATCCATCAGATCTCTCAGATCTGGATGTAGCTGATCCATAGCTTTGATTTCCAGCCGTAATTTGTCCATTAACGTGATGAACAGTGACACGATGTCCGCGATACATTTTGACGTGTTCCCTTTGTCGTCCTTTATGGTGATAGGTCTGCCTTCCTTGATTCTTTCGAGCGCGGCTGGGCAGTCTAATCGAAACGCTCTGGCGAATGCGTCTATCGTAGGAAACTGTTCGCTTTGCACCTGAACGGATGAAAAATTACAAATAATAATTAGTTTCGCTGTTGCGATCTCGATCTGTCGGCGTTAAAAGTGATCATCGCGATCGGAGGGAGGGTACGAAAGTTACTTGAGAAATGAATACGAACGGAACATGTACGGAACACGTATAACGATAGCGTTTATTTATGATCTTGTACCTGTTTGAAAGCAGCTATGTACTGCACCAACAGTTTGCTACATGCAGCCGTATATTCCTTTGGAGTCACGCAATCTCTGATGTACGCTTTCTCGAGGTGTTGCAAAGTATTCACGACCGCGTACAAGTCTGCCTGGTTATCGTGCTTTTCCCTTTCCCGGGCATTTTTATAAAGCTTCACTTCCTCGTAGAGCTCTGGCCGATCTTGAGCTATCGACATTGTTCTCTACAATTGCGATAACGTCGTCGTCACTAATAATTTCAACGGTTCGATCAAGACCGAAGGTTAGGGTGAAACGCACAGAACCTTTACTAACGGAAAATTTCGAGAAACTATGAGGAGTAAATTATAAACCGAGACGCTGCCAATGGGGACGAATGTTAAGACAAAGAAATAGGTACCGAACGAAACGTCAAACTGTGAATTTGATCGGTATAGAAGATACGATATAACAATTCACTCGTCTTAGAATTTAATCATTTGTACAGAACGAGAATTACTCAAGAATCATAGCACTGCAAAATAGGCACGCGACGTTAACGTTGACACTCAATGAAAATCGAATGAAAAACTGTCATAACCCATGTACTGGCACAAAATACTCAAAGGTTTCAGTCCTAGCAAGTCTCCTCGGGTCACGTCACTAGCACGAGGAGGAGGAGTGTCGCGTCATGCGGCAAAGCCATCTACAGGACGATCGCAGCGTCAAGAAGAGCGTTTCTGCCTTATCAGTTTCTCACGAAGGTATTTAAACGGCTTGCTTTTATTGAATGCAACGTTTATATTGCCTTATTTCGTCGTCTGTCTACTGTACTTGTATCCGGTTTAGGATACGTAGAAATCCTCCTAAGTCCGTGATTTCGGTGATCGATTTATTAGAACACACTTAAAACAGATAACAGTATTTACCAAGGTAATTTATATTGCAAAATGGTCTTATAACTTGTACTTGTTTTGGCATTTTTCTGAAATTCATAATCTCGCTCACGTTCTTGAAAGTTCGTCGACTTTAAGATGCAGGCAAACAAACGCCGTAATAAAAATTGATTCTTATCGTGTCTCGTGTTTAAATAATCTTTGGATGACATTGGGCCTGCTGAATCGATCTTTGCAACTGACTATCATTTTATTCGCGCCGAGACACGGACAATCGAATTCCTCGATGACCGTCCTTTTACGCGAGTCTACATTCATGTTTTCGTACCGCTTAGCGTCTACTTCCCTGTTAGATACAAAGCGTATGAAAGCTACGTTGAGCAGCGGTGCCGCGTCATCTAAGACTTCCCATGGCGGGAAGATCTGTACTAAACCATCGGATTTCATCTCGATCTTGCCTGTTATTTCAGGAACGATCATGATCCATAGTAATCGCTTGTCCCACGATAATAAACCGTGCGAATCTTCGACCACGAATCCTTCTAGGAACTGTCTACCGAGGCGACTGACGCACTCTCGGACAAAGACGGAAACGGAAGCTACAGGAGTCCCGGTTTCCATTGTTCGTCTCAACTGATATCTCCACAAACGTACAGACGATCTTTGATTATTGATCATCGAATGTAACTTCTCCGTCAAACTTCCCCTAGAACATCGATGTTACTTTTAAATGATCGTGCTTACGGTAAGGAGTTACGTTAAAATCTACCTCTTTGGTTTCTTCCGTTTTTTTCCCGAGTCTAGAAGAGTCAATTGCATCGAGGGATCCGATTGCGTCCTCCGCGGCGATGTCTCCGCGCTGATGGTGAGCGCGGTTTCGGGCGGCTTCTCCTCCACGACATTGATAATTGCCGAAGAACCCCCGGAGATCTCTTGAGAAGGTTTCGCGCTAATCAAATCGCAAGGAGATCGTTCCCTTTCCGAGAAGAACGTCTCGTCAGACGACTGATCGCACGAGAACGGCGATGCTCCGAAAACGGGGGATCGATCCTGATTTCCATCAACGACAATATTTTGCGTGGCCTCGAGTTCTATACCATCGCTGGGACGAACTTCGGTATCGCTGCTCTTTATATGTATTTCTTCGACGTCATCGACGTCATTATCCTCGCCACTGCTACTTTCGATCACAATCATTTCCGTCTTCTTTTCGGTGTCATCGGTGTCATCGGTGTCGTTATCCTCGCCACTGCTACTTTCGATCTCAATCATTTCCGTCTTCTTTTTATCACCCTTGTCCTTTCGAACAACCTTCGAATCTGCCGCGAGAGGTGCGCGTCTCGTGGAATCTGTGTTGAGTGTTTCCGTCTCTTTTTCGGCGTCATCGGCGTCGTTATCCTCACCATTGCTACTTTCGATTTCAATCGTTTCCGTCTTCTTTTTATCACCCTTGTCCTTTTGAACAACCTTCGAATCTGCCGCGAGAGGTGCGCGTCTCGTGGAATCTGTGTCGAGTGCACGTTCGAAATCGATTTGCAAACGTTCTCTATCTTGTTCAAACGACAAACCCGCTTTTTGAGTGCACATGATTTTTCGTTTGTTCTCTAAATATTCTGTGACCACCGTGTCACGAGGACCCATAGAGTTCATGTTTAAATCCGCTGCTCTCATTAGCTTCCTTCGCTTTCTCACCTTAGAACACGAGTTTTTACCCAAAATGGGAGATCGATTAGGAGTCGGAACGTTCCACTCCGGAATATTACTTTCGGCGTTCCTCCTTCTTGGATATGAACGAACATTTCTGCCGAGCACAGAATTTGATGCGGAAGGAACGTCAGCGAATGGAGAGCCAAATAAATTTTTTCTTACATCTTTTCTGGTATCATCGTTCATCTCCTCGAATATTTATTATAATTTGTTAATAAAACTGTGGCGCCTCGCATCCTTCCTCGATCGACCGATCGATGGCTCTCCTGCCTCGGCAGAACGGAGGTCGGTCAAGGCGACACAAATCGATACGCTTTTTTGGCGCTAGTCAACTGACGTCGATGGGTTCATATCACATCGTACTTTCAGTCAACAAAAAAAAACAATGATGTTTACAGTGTAAAGTTTTATTAATGTAAGTACTTAAGCGTACTAAAATTTGTTCACCAAACCGAACGATCCGTCAACATCAACAAACACACGTGACTGACATTTACGCGGCACGAACTGTTCAGTGACTACGGTTTTCCGACATTTCCATCTATCATTTCGCGAAACGAAACCTGAATTTGCTCTATACACAGACCCTAGTTTAATCGCAAACTACATTATAACTACAGCACACGTACGCGTCACTGATCGTATCGTGTCTAAGGTTAAGAATCATCGTTCAGTGGTTTTACGACGTTGTGGTTAAAGTCAGTGCAGCAGTCACAGAAATTCTCACCGTTTCACTGAAACGATGAGACTTCTCACCGATCCTCATTCATCGTACATAGGTACATACGTCTAGACGTATTTGTTGCAACGTATTTATACACTTGTACTACTTCGCGGGTACCTTGGTTAGGTTCGAACAGACCATTTCTACTGCCATGACAACGCGAGCAAGTAGGATCGTTCGAATCTCATCTGACGTCGTGTCGGTGTCACCGGCGGGATGTCAGTCAGCAGGAGTCAGGAGTCGGGACGTTATTTTTCACTCGTCTCAACTGTATGGCATTTTTATGAGTCTCGGTAGATTCTTTTTCTTTACTATTTTTCGATAGAAAGAAAATCAAAGGCTAATGCCAAGTTACACGCGTCGACTCTTTCCTCTCGATAGATTCACGCGTACTCTAACGAGCATCTATCGCATGCTTAAGCGTGTAGACTGGGAAATTATTTCATAATTGTTAAAAATGATTCTCGTATCTTCATCTTTACTAGCCGGCATATTACTAACGATAAGTCTCTTACTCACGCGGTCTTATTGCCTACACACTTCCTATCTCGCTGTCCGTCAAGGCTTAAATGATGTAAAGAAATAATATGTTGCTCATGAACATATATGCATGCACGCACGCTCGTGTTCCGACGAATAAACGTAGTATCTGTGAAATGTTTACTGTTTAGACAAGCTCAGGACGATGAGCGAAGTGCTGTGCACGGGAAGGGAAGGTTGGGGGTTGGAACAGAGCGAAAGATGAGGCCAAGCAGGATGAGGAGGACGAAGAGCAGAGGAGAGAATTGGCGCGAGTGTACGCGTAAATTCGAGTGAGCGAGCGGTTGTGATGCACACCGTGCAATTACCGGGCGGCGAGTGTCGAGGAACCCTCTTTTATATTAATAGTCGAGATAGTAGTCGAGCGTGTAGCGCGATAGGAGAGTGCCGATCGAGGCGAAGAGGAGGGCATCGTGGAGGGAACCGCGTACGCCGATTGAGACGAGAGAGAGAACGAGAGAGAGAGATGAGCGAAGAACGAGGGGGACCGGGACGGGACGATGGCGAGAGAGAAGGTTCAAGGGGGACGTTCGAAACGATAGATAGGACCGTGGACGGACCCCTTGTATCCACGATTGCTTCAGTTTCACTTCGCGATGGAGGCTACTTACTTCTTCTGGTGGTAGCTGCTGCCGGTTCATTCTTCGCCGACAAAGAGCGAGCAAACGGAGAACGGAGGCGGACAGGGGTAGAAAAGGACACGAAGGAAACGAGGTACGGTCGGAGGTACAGTCGGGGTGGAAGGAAAGTGAATAGCAGCGTAGTCGAGGAAAAGGGAAGAGGAATTTGAAGCAGGCAAGGCGCAAGAGGGTTGAAACCGATCGGGACATCCGGAGATGTGAACGCGCGATGACGTTCGAGATACCGTGCTGCAGGATCGCGTCCCGAGGCGCGTCGATCTCGATCGCTCGTTGTGAATTTGTGCAGTGACCGAGAAGTGTGCCGGTACCTTCCTCGACGAACCCTTTCGAGCACCGACGCGCGTATGCCCGAACGGCGTTGCTCTCTCATCGATTCGGATCAGTGGTGCTGTTCGTAGGAGTCCCTTGGATCTTTCTCTGTTCCCTTCGATCGGTAAGATTTTCGAGGAGGCATCCTCTGTTTGCGCCGGATCGTCGGAGCGGCGTTGAAACGCGGATAAAAGGTGGAGCGGTAGAAAGGAAGGGAGGTAGAAGAGGAGAGTAGAGGAGAGATAGAGATAGATAGATAGAGAGAGATTTATTCCGGAAGTTTGTGCTTGCGAGTTAAGTAGAACGAAACGCGATGCGAGGGAGAGAGGTAGAGGGGCAGGCGAATCGATGTACGTTGCGAACGGATCGTGATTTTTCATCGCGCTCACGTCCGAACAATGAGAGAAACTGTAAGTAATCACCGGCCGATACAGATGCGAAATTAGCTTTTCGCTCAGACAATCGGGTGGAAAAATTTGCTCGTCGACGAGCTCCTGTCGAGCGCGTCGTAAATCGAATTGTTTAATTATCCGGAATCCGAGAAACGCAGTCATATAACATAACGCGCGAGACGTCGCATTATCTTGTCGTTGAAAGATCTTTGCTCGTAGATTCGACGTAAAAATACGATGTTTACGGATTCAGTTCTCTCGCAAGGCACGCACGTATGGAAATTTCTAATGCGCTGCGAGGGGAATGAAACGAGCGAGGAACAGGTGAAGAACCCGACGACCGTCTTTGCATCGCGTTTACGCGTTGGAAAATGCGAAAAGTAAGACGACGGCGGCGCAGCGGGGCGATTCGCGAGAAAAGATCAGGTCCGCGTTGTCGGATTGCGTAACGAGGTTCGATCGTGAATCGAAAATCTGGTCCGAGCCGATCGCAACGGCCACGTCGATCGCGAAAAGGGGAAAAGGGCCGAAGCGGTCGCAGGGGCGGAGGGGAAAGAGCAGCGGGCTGAAGCGATGGCCCGAATAAGAGGAAGCGGCCGCGAACGGGTACGAGACGACGGCGTGCGAAGCGGGATGACGTTGTTTGCAGTCGTGACGTCACTCGCAATTGTAGAGAGCAACGAGAGGCTCGAGGATGCAGCCGTGTGCGTCACGTGGACCTGAATCCGGGTTCTGGCCGGATCCACGGAGATTCGAGATCCGAGATTCGAGAGCGGCTCATCTAGGAGCTCGATTCGAGGGCAAGCTGGAATCGGAAACACGGTCGGCACGTTCCCGCGGATGTCGTGACGATTTCAATTGAAGCTCGCGTTCGCTGGGAACGAAAACACTGGAGGAGTACGCGTACGTGGTCGTCGAGGACGTCCCTCGCTCGCGTCGTTTCCACCGAACGTTCGAATTCGCGTAGCAGCCGGGGGGCGACGAGGACTCGGTGCCGCGGAGACCAGGGACGACGGGAGGAACCTCTACCTCGGCGAGCGCGCGCGCGCGCGCTCCACATTTTTCGTCGCGTGTACGTTTCTACGCGTGCATAGTCACAAAATTGAAGTGCACATTTCGTGCAGCTTCCGGCAGTAGCGCAGCGGCTGTGCGCCGTTTCCTTACGATTCGCTATCGCGCGGTGCGTTCGTCCAGCGACGAGAACCGCATTCCGTTTTCGTTGCGACACGCATGATTCTCGTCCCGAACGAGACCCTTCGGAAAAATCCAGACAGTCGCAACCGTTTCGCACCTCCTCTCTTCTCGTCTTTGTTCTTTTTCCGCTCTCTCTCTCTCTCTCCTTTTCTCTCCTCTTCTCGTCTCTATCTGTTTTCGATCGGAGGTACGAACGATCGTAAACGTAAACGATCGTGTCAGGTGGCGGGTGCAGGACGCAGGGTAGCGTGCAGCGAGCGGTACGCGCAGGGACGAAGAAGAGAATCGAGTACACGGTGACGCTGCACGTCGGGGCGGCGACGGCCGCGGAGAGGCGGAGGGCACCGTCGAAGACGATGCTCGGGAGGATCGGAAGAGAGGAGGTGTTCTCCGGCAATGGCTGATCGCGGCCGGCGCTATGCTCGCGGCATATAAGAACGCGCGAAGACGTGCGTTCGCCGCGCTTTACGCGATCCCGAATTCGAAGCAGCACGAACGTTCCGTGGTCACGACGCTTATCTTCGCGGCGCTTGGAGCGATCTCGTCAGACGGAAGGAGGACAGCGGAATCGGATTCGCGATCCTAATCACGTTGCGATCCTCGCAGTGGTTCACCGGAGGCGTTCGACGGCGGCACGGTTTCGCGAATGTGATGCGCGGTTCCAGTGGTCGATCGAGCATCGTGAATAAACGCGCGAGGAAACGAGAATAGAAGAGAAGCAGTGCGACGAGTTGACGACCGGTGAGCGCGTCTCGATTCCTAGGAGCATCGCGCGAGGGAAACACGGCCGTGCTGCCGATGGTCATGCCGTGTGATTCGAGCCGGTGCCTTCGTCGTCGTCGTCCTCGTCGCCGCGCAGCCGTCCAATCCAGAAAGTCAAGAATCGTGACGGAAGCGTCGTTGCTCGTGAAACGCGGTGAACCGACAGCATTGGAAACATGAGCTCGATCGACTTCGACGAGGTGTTGGTGCACGTGGGCGAGAAGGGCAAATATCAGAACATCATGTACTATCTCTTATGCATACCAGCCACTCTCCCGGCGGCTTTCTTAGCCTTCTCGCAAGTGAGTCTTCCTCGGTCGCGGAGGTTCGTCGCAGGTTTCGCAAATGAAACGATCGTGAACGTTTGACCGGCAGGTGTTCGTCAGCGCGTCCCCGGATCACTGGTGCAGAGTCCCGGAGCTCGAGAATCTCACGGACCTGATGACTCTCGAGGAGAGGAAGGCGCTCTCGTTGCCGTACATCAAGTCGGACGGAAAGGTGAAAAAGTACTCCAAGTGCAAGATGTACGACGCGAATTACACGGCGATCGTGGAATCGTGGTTAGAGCACGCGGTCCTCGAGGACCACCGGCCGGACGAAGAGGGTGAGCATCGGTCGAGGACTCGGTTGACACCGCCGCCGGTCGGTGACCCCGATTGGCCCGAGATCCCCTGTCGACACGGATGGATCTACGACACCCGGGATTACGACAGCACCCTGGTAACCGAGGTAAATTTGACTTTCTCTCTTTTACAGAAGACGGCGAGGCGAGCGACGCGAGACAAGCCAGTCCGTTAGGAAAAGCGGTCGCGGCCGTTTGCATAATTCTCCTACGCGTTAATCGACGAATTTCGCTCGCGGAGCTGACCGCAAGTAAGAGTCGTGTTTCACGGGGTAATTCGCCTTGGCCTTTCCCGCGCGACGTCGCTCGCCGTCCTCCCCGTACCAGCGGATTCGTCCGATTTAAAACGCGGTCCCGTTCGCGGAATCCGAGCTCCTCTCTCCGCTGCTCGACGATCTTCCGTTCCGCGTACGATCCACCTTTGCCAACCGGTCGTTATTCGTCGTAGCCGTGGTAAGTTCGTGGAAGCGTATGAAAATTCTGCTCGTCCCGTTTACTCGAACCGGCGAGAAGCGTCGCGCGGCCTCGTCACGTGGCGGTCTCGTTCGCGAGCGGTCTATTAACGCGTTATTAAATTGCCGCAATTAGACAACGCCATGCCCGTCGATGTGCAACGCCGTAGCTCGCGCTGCACGCCGCGTGCGCCGCGCGTGGTCGAGGATCCGCGGAGACGCGAGTTTCCTCGACTCTCGGCCCTTTCCCTCGCCCGGAGTCCCTCGTCCAGGTGAGCGACGAGCCGCCAAACTCCGATACCATGCGACTCCGCGGTGGCATCGCCAATTACCGATCAATTTACCTACCCCATCATCCGGTCATGCGATCAAACGCCTCCTACAAACTGCCGGCACCGCTTTTGTCGAGGGTATCGGAGAAACGAAGAGAGGGAAAAACGGGCTCGTGACGCAAACAACCATCGAATCGACCGAATTCCGATCGAGGTTTTCTGCTCTCTCAAACGGGCTCACGCCACCCTCGTCCGTCAGCGTTTCGTTCTTATCGGAGGATGGTCTAGTAGAAAAGAATCAGATCAATCGAATAGTCGCAACGGTGTAACGGACAGATAGATCGTGGATTCTCTGCGTTCCAGCGATTCGACGAAACTTTTCAACGACCTTATTGGATCATGGGTCAATTAAAAAAAAGGTTTTTTTACGCTCAAATAATGATTTGATTTTAAACGACTCGGAAGGACGTCTGAACTGTACGAAATCCGCGCTAGAAGCGAGTACCGCCTTTTCAAAAAGGTTTCGAGCCGTATCTTAGAAGACCAACCCTAATCGCGCTTCCGCTGTATTGTCCGTGATCTATGGTTCCTTTCACGAGACACGATTCCCGTCGGTTCCTTCTGATCGTACGCGGAGTTCGGTTCGAGGGGAGGACCGCGGAGTCGGAACGGGTGACGGCCGGCAGGCTGCTGGTCGCGAGACCAGATCGAAAAACGAACGCGAAGCGCGTGACGCGGCTCGAACCGCGGTCATATCAATGGATCGTTTTCGAAGTGTGTCAGGGTGATAAAATATGCGCGTGTCGTTAACGTCCTACGGGCCTACGGGCGCGTGCACTGCCCTTGACAATATAACTGAACGCCATCGCCTCGCACCGAGAGTGCTCCCGTGTTTCCATGCAATTTACCTTTTGCGTTTCACGCAGACATCAAAAGTCCGTGAGTGGCAATTTGCTTAAATCAAAGTTCGTGTTAAATCCATCAACGACCACCGCCACGATTTATTTGCCGAGGCTGATCGAACCTCGATGAGGATTATTTCGTTTGCTCGCGCGGCGATGTTTGCACGTTCTCTTTGTCGCGCGCCGCTAACGTCCACGCCGCGTCCGGGATCGCCGGAACGGTCTAAAACCCGTGCGAGGAACGTTTCTCAATTTCCACCCCTCCCAACCGGCCTCGCGACGCGCCGAGTTCTCGGAGCGTTACGCGTTCGAAATAATTAACGCGTAACGTAACCGTGTCGCGTGCAGGTACCTACGTGAGCGCAATGCATTCGATGGCAAATTCGATTTCGCTCCGCGAATCTCGAGAGACGCGCGAACCGACGCTCGGAACCGTCGAGACGACCGAAGATAAACGGCGAATCAGAGCAACGACACGATCGAGGCGCGATATCGGCTCGTTTTGTGAACCGAGGGGACCAAGCGTTTTAATCGCTGTATGCATCCACATAGCTAGACTTGGTATGCGACAACAGCTGGTGGCCTTCGACTTCGACGACCTTCTTCTACGTCGGCAGCTTGTTTGGCAACGTGGTGTTCGGCTGGATCGCCGACAAATGGGGCAGGAGGACCGCGTTCTTCGCCATACTGTTCCTCGAGGTGATATTCTCGATCGCTACCAGCTTCAGCCCCAACTACGTGATTTACACCGCGCTGAGGACCGTCAACGGTCTCTTCTTTCCAGCTATCTATCAGATACCCTTCATACTAGGTATGCGCTCGTCCTACCTTCTGATTTAAGGACGTATTGGCTATACAGTCAATCACAAACATCCACTAACGTCCTCTACAAGGAAGATTATATGAATTTTTCTTCTAACTTCGATATTTAACGAGTTACGTACGATTAATTGGCATTTTATTGACATTAACGAAATCCGGGCGAACACCGTCAAAACGGTCAGCTTTTGGAACAAAAATTCGTTTTTCATCAAATATTCCCAAACCATTGAACTTACGAGAAAATCGTATAAGACCGTTTTTGTAGCTGACGACTAAAACTACAACTTTTATTTGAAATATTTTTCGCTAATGTCGATAGTTCACGAGTTATTGATGAAAAACGAAAAAACAGTTTTTTTCCAAAGTACTCGTCAACTATTGACGATAGGAAAAAATGTTTGTAGGATATACAA